AATATTCCATACTAAATGTAACCCCATCTTAATTCCAATAACATTAAACAATTCTCAGTGGGGTTGAGTTCTGAGTGAGTGGTCAAATTTTGGCTTTTTCTTTTGTCTGATACAAAGTCTCACATATCCCTGGCTTTCACTGAACTCTGTAGCTGAGGCAGACCTTTATCTTCTGCTTCTACCTCTCTGGTGTCAGATTTACAGGCATGTGCCAACTACATAGTGTATGTGGTACTGGGGATCAACCTGAGGGCTTGGTGCATGCTAGTCAAGCACTCTACCAACTGTGCTACAATATATCCCCATTCCCTCCCTCATCTCCTTACTTCTTCATGTTTCCTCCAAATAAGCCACAAAGGAGATTAACCGTGTAAGAACTGTACCAAGAAAAGGTTTGAGAGAGAAAACAGAGGTGATGGAAGAGACATCAACAAGTGAAAAAAATGTCAGTGGAAGCATCTGTGGTATTAACTAGAAAAACTTCAGAACAGGGGCTGGAGACATGGTTCAGAGGTTAAGAGCCCTGGCTGCTCTTGCAGAGGTCCAAGGTTCCATTCTCAGCACCCTTGTGGCAGCTAACAACTGCCCATACTCCAGCAGTTCCAGGGGATCTGACGCCTTCTTCTGACTTCCACAGGCATTGCACAGCATGGGTGCACTTACATACATGCAGGCAATACATGCATACACATGAAATAAAAATGGTAAAATATTTATGAAAAAGGAAAGGTTCCAGAATAATCTAGAAGCCAAACCTCTGGGCATGCTGGCTGGAGTCTCCAGATTGAGTTAAAGGGGAAGATCTACCCTAGGGCCCGGAGAGACGGTTCAATAGATAAGAGTACTTGTTCTACAAGCATGAGGACCTGAGTTCAAATCCCCACCACCTATGTAAAGTCAGGCATCATGGTTATGCATGCTTACAACTCCAGCATTGGGAGGCAGAAGACAGGCAGATTGCAGATAACTTGCTGACTAGCTAGCTAAAACCAAATGATGAGCTTCTAGATTGGGGAGAGAGTGTATCTAGCCAGTAAGGCAGGGAATAGACAAAGACACTCAATGTTCTGATCTGGACTCTGCATATGTGTGCACAGGCATTCATTGGACACTCTAAAAGCAGGCAGCACTATTTTATGTGCTGGGGTCCCAGCCTAAATTTAAAAAAGGAGACCAAGGTTGGGGCAGGCAGATCTCTGTGAGTTCGAGGCCAGCCTGCTCTACATAATGAACTCCAAGCCAACTGCGGCTACAGGGAAACCCTGTCTCAAAAAGACCTAAGGAAAGGAAAGGAAACCTGGGGCTGGAGAGATGGCTCAGCAGTTGAGCACTGACTGCTCTTGCAGAGGACCCAGGTTCGATTCCCAGCACCCACATGGCGGCTACGCACCATCCTTAACTCCAGTTCCAGGGGAATTCGAAGCCCTCTTCTGACCTCTGCAGCACTGCACGACACAGGTACACTCACATACATGCAGGCAATACACATAAAATAAAAATAATAAGCCCTTAAGTTGTTTTTGTCAGAGCAGTGAGCAAATACAAAAAACCCCCAAAACACTGTACAGTTTAAGGAAAGTCTGGCAAAGGCCATCAGGGTGTCCTTGAAGTGGTCTGCTGCCAAAGGGACCCTAAGTGTCTAGGAAGAGATCTGCCTTAAAAATATGCCAAGCTAAGCCATCAGCTTAGAGGTGGCTTGGAAAGCCTGGCTCCCACATAAATGTAGAGATTTCAGAGCAAATTTCAGTCCTTCCTCAATTTTGTTCCCTGTAGTCATGAGTCTACACACACAGCTTCTCTTGATAACCGTATCTGCAATTTACAGTGTTTATGGTGGTTATCTCAGTTGACCTTTACAATGGTCACATTTATTGAGCCCTAACAAAAAACATCAGGTCTTACCATCTCACTGATTCCAATTTGATATTCTCCTACAACTTCAGGGGATACTTCAGATTTAAGAAATAGGTGTTTCGCTGGGCATGCTGGTGCACACATTTAATCCCAGCACTTGGGAGGCAGAGGCAGAGGGACCTCTGTGAGTTCAAGGCCAGCCTGGTCTACATAGTGAGCTCCAGGACAGCTGGGGCTACAGGGAGACCCTGTCTCAAAAAGACAAATACATAAACAAAAAGTGTTTCAAGCCAGGTGTGGTTAACAGCACCATCTGCTTTTGTAGAGGACCCAGATTCTGTTGAATCTGTCCCTAACTCCAGTTCGAGGGAATGACAACCTCTGGTCTCCACGGGCATTGCACACATGTGGTGCACTTATATACGTGCAGGCAATGCACGCATGCACATAAAACTAAAAAAAGCAAAGGGTTAGTTTAGTGATGGAGCATTTGCCTTGCATGTGCAAAGCCCTGAGTTTTTAGCTTCTAGCATCATGCCCCCAAAGCCAGGAATTTGAAGGTAGCCAGGGGCTAATACAGTGAGATCTTGCCTCAAAATTTCCCTGACTTAGGTCACATGAAAACACCCCCAGCGGCAAAGGAATCCAGTACAGGCATTTAATTCTACATGTCCACTGAGGTGGGGAAGAAAGGGACTAAGCAGCTTTTGGGTTGCCAGCCAAGTCTCCTATAGCACCCCAGTCCCGGACTTGGTCTCTGATCTGGTGAGCAGTGCTGTTTCCTTATTCTACAGAGGGGCTACTGAGACAAGTCATTAGCAGAACGGAACTCAGGTTTCCAACTCCAAGTCACTTTCACCCTAAGTATTTCAAAATACTTAGAATTTCTGTACAAGGTTAAATGAGGTACTCATTGGTGCCATAACCACAGAATATTTTTTAAAAATTTTTTATTAATTACAAATTTCATACATGCATACATAGTGTCTATCAATCACACTCACCTTCCACTCCTCCCAGATCTACTCCCCATCCCTAGAATTTTCTTCTTGGTTGAGCATGTCCCCTAATAACTATCCACTAGGTCCTCCTCTACTTCTTAAAGGATCCACCACCCCTAATAGTGGCTACAGGATGGAGGGAGCCTTTACCATACAGGCCAGAGTCCAGAAGCTGAAGCAGGAAGTCATTAAGTTGAACGAGGTCATCAGGGTGGGGCCCTCATAATGGGAGTGGCTCTTTCCTCTCTGCCACTGTTGACACAGCAGGAAGGCAGGCTTTCTTAGCACTGCAAGCTATGTCATCAGGCTTAATCTTGGTGCTCTTTCACCCCTCGGCCAAGTCTGTCCATGGTCATTCATGCTACTTTCAGTACATCTCAAGTTTTGTTCTGTTCTTCCAGTCACATGGACCCTGGATTCAGCAAACACAAAAACCCATGCCCCTCCAAAGCTTACCTTTTACTAGGGATAGGTAAGAAAATTTAATAGATGTGCTCTGTGAACTCAAGCAGACCAGGAATCCAGACCATGGACACATGAGAGACTGCTACTTTAAACATGGTGCTCAGGAAGGCCTTCCTAAACCACAGGCTTGACAGTACAGGGGGAGAAAAGCCATGTGGTTATCATCCAGGACATTCTCATAGCCAGGGGGAAATGTGTGACAAGTCTTGTGGTGGGGTCCCTGGCATGTTTCAGGAAAGGGAAGCCAGAACAAGCCAGTGAACATAGCAGTCTCCTATAGGACACTGGCCCCTGCAAAGAACTGAGTCTTCAGAGTTTAAGCAGTGTTCCAAGCTGAGTTCTAAGGTGGAAAGGATGTAGTGGAGCTCAGTTGAGCGATCATCTCTGTCATGGTAGAGGCCTGGGCCCTGCAGGCCACAGTTGCTGTTGTGCTCAGGTTCTGGACTTTCAATCTATGGGGCTTGCACTCATTGGCTATGGCAGCAGCAGACACTGTGGCAACCGCAGTCCTAAATCTGCTGCAGCCAACATTTCATTTCCAGCTTTAATATTATCACCTACTTTGTTGATTCCATCTGCCTTTCTGGATTTATCTCTGGTCATCACTTTCATGTTCCTGGCCTAATTCCAAGGTTTAGGTCCCATGTTCATTTCCAGTGATGATTGTAACTCTAGTAGCCACATGGGTGTCACACTTCAGACTTCCACCAACACCTCCCTAATCCTCCCCACCCCTCCCCCCACCTTGTGTATTCTCTACTTAGTAGAGCACACTGTCTGCACTTCTACATTTGATGACCTGTATTTGGCATCCTGAGGCATGCTACAGTTGCAACCTCCGTGAGATCTTCCTCAACATCCAACTATTTACCACTTGTGGCAGTTTCAGCACCTATATGTTTAGCTTTAGGTTTTAACTACCATTGTTGGCCACCTTGCTTTAACAACATACACAGAACAATAAATATACCAGGACTTTTTCCATTGCACTGTTGCCAACATGATATTCCAGGAACCACCAGCAAAGGAGCTAACACTATCTGTTCTAGAGGGGAACCATGTCACCTGGACACACATAGCACAAGATACCTGGATGTGCCACTCTGGCCCACATTTCTAGCTTCCGAAATTACTCTTCCAACTAAGTATCCAATTGTTCCACAAAATAGGCACCCAACAAGAACAGATAACAGAACTAATTCTGGAAGTGCTCCAGGTGATGTTAAGTACTACCTGAATGTATTTTAGCCTTCCTGCTCAGGCTGCACCACACAGAGCTACTGTTAGTGAATAACAGCTCCCAGGGCCACAGCACCCTCAGTTAACCAGTTCAACTAAGTCTAGTGACAGCTATCTGAAGCAACGTCTGAAATTCAGGCCCTCTCCACCAGAATGTGTCTTCCTTTTCTACCTTTTTGCTTAACAGCAAGGAGTCTTCACCTTCAGTTTTTCCATATATATACATAATTCCTGACAGATAAGCTAATCTAGAAGTTAAAAATGGGTAACTATCATATAGAAATTTTTCTTACAAACCCACAAAAAATTATATAAACTTTCAATTTTAAGGAAATTTTCCCTGGGAGAATTACCCGTGTCATCTACTTGCAAACTGCTTTAATCTAAAGGTCCTGTGAAAGTGAAGAATTTACTAAACCAAGATAAAACTAGACACAGACAATTATTTAAGACCTTTATTAACAGGTGCTTGCAGTTTGTTGACTTTTTTGAAAAAATCAAGTTGTAAACTTTTATTACAAATTAAAAATGAAGTTCTTAAAAATCTCAACTTGACCAGATATGAAACAATTTAAAAACCTTTAAAGGTGTATTGAGAAAAACCAGGCTTTTTTTTTAAAAAACGTTTCTCATTACCAAAAAGAGACATCTTTAGGTAAAAATAATAAAAACCCCATGCTGCATAGACAATGCAGATAGTTCTGGTATATCTGGTCAACGGCAAAAAGCAAGCACTTAAGGTCTTCAGCTCCAATCTTTTGTTCATTTCTTATTGCTGGAATTTCATATTCATTTCTTCTTGTTGGATGACTAAACTGCAAAGAAAAGAGATCAGAGTCTCATTCATCATTCACTGGTCTTCCTGTAGTGTTCTACACTCGGGATCACATCAGCTATGCAGAACAAGGCCACCAGCCGCCTCACTTTGCTTTTACTGAAGACAGTGGCTTACAATGGAAGGACACTGCTGTATGACAAGGGGCTGTGCATAGGTTCTGATGACCTTCTCCCACCCAGGATAAGAGGAAAGAAAAAAAAAACCAAAAAAAAAACCCAAAATTTCACTGCTTGAAAATGGTAGAGCCAGATAGTCTAAATTAGCAAGTAAAAATCTTGAATACAAAGGACTGTCAAAAAAGTGAGACAGCAAGCCACAATGACGAAAAACATGAGAATGTGTCATACCTGATCTGCTAAAGAATTATTAACCCCACAGGTTCTTATAGCACAAGCCACTCCTAACTCCAAGCAGTTAATCTTTAAGAAACAGGAAAATCTCTCCCCTTCTAAATAGCAAACATAGACCATTAAACACACTACAAATGGTTTAAAAATACCAATGTTGCCACTTTGTCAAATAGACCGTTGCTTGGCACCATGAGGTAAGTTATTATTCCTAGTAACTTTCCTTGAAAACAAAGCATAAACACTGTCCTCAGAGGACAGCTACCAAGACTTTCTTCAGCTTTCTGGTAACATCACAGAATTCATGCAGAAAGCACCAATATTCCAAAACATACAATGTCAAGGTGGGCTTTCAGGTGTCAACACTGAACCAGCTGTGGGACAAAAACATGGCTCCCATTCTCAACATTCCTGAAGTGGAACATTTGTCAAATTTTAAGATCGGAGAGAATGACGTTGGAAATAAAATGGCTGGCCTTATTCGACCAGCTGTTTGGGGTTTCTTTTGTACTAGGAGAGTGCAGTGGATACCACCCATGTCACAAGGAAGGTAACGGTTGGCCAACTTACCCGGATGATGGTAAAGATGGTAAGCCGGCATTTACTCAGCCCCGCCCTGCTCAGCCTCGGGAGCGGACGAATTCTCAGCTGGTGGATCGGCTGCTTTTGTCTCTTTGCCATCTTGTGGTTTAGGGTTCTCTGGGCGTCTGCGTCGGTAGTTGAAGTTGCGACGATACCGACGTTGAGGTGGCTGCTGACCCTGGGTCTCATCTCCTTGATTTTCCTTGTCCTCTTCATTGCCGTCCTCTCTAGGCTGTCTTTGGCGAGGAGGGCCCCTGAAATAAACATGCAACCTCAGAACAATAAAAGCTTTTTTCTTCAACCCCGCCTCAAGTGGTTAGTACTTGGTTCACTCAACTAAATTGTCAGCATCTGGCCATTTTCTTTAAGTGCTCTGCAGGCAGCTTTTTCAAAAAGCCAAGTGTCATCTTGTACAAGGAGACGGAGATGTCAATGGAAGCTTTTAAAACTGGTTTTACAAATTATGATCTATTTCACAACCAGGAAACAAAAAGTTGCCAAAACATAGTAATGATCAACATCTGACCGCCAACCTGGGCTACATGTGATACAATCAAAACAAGAGCTACCAATCACCCCAATGTGATCACTCTATGTTATACATGTACTGCCCACTTCACTCCAGAGTCAATTTAAGGCTGCAGCAAAAATGTTGACCAAAACAGTTTACTTGAGAACCGCTGATGAACTTGAGGCTGAGTGAGCAAGCAGGACTTCGGCTTGAGATCAGTCTGAACTACCTAAGAAGTCATGACCCCCAAAGCCTCTGACAAGATCTTGAAATTCCTCTTTTGTAACTAATTCATGTTCAACCTTTCTTGTACCTCATCATCGTTCCTCAAACCGTAGACCAATCTTCTGGAGTCACCCTGTTCCTACTGTAACTTTGGATGAGCTTTACTCTACTTCCTACTTCCCTATTCTGTCCAGTCTGTATGACCAACTTCTCCCAGAAACTTCCACTCAGGTAAGCAAAGGCCAGACAAACCCAGATCTGTCTAAGCCGGGCCTGCTAAGTGGATGGAAAGCAGAACCATGTGGGTGCACTCACTTCAAGCTGCTTAGCAGTAGCAGAGTTTACTGCTAATACCTGCTCTAGTTCACCCATTCTCATCCATGAGCATGTTATTTCTCACACACTAAAATAACCTGACAGCATGTCCTTCTGCCACTTATCCCTTTCCAAAGCTCACTGCACTTCCTTTATCTTAATGTTTCTTTCAGTTTGCTTTGAGCAGTTAGAACTGACATACCAACATCTGCACACAAGGGGCAGGTTTCACTTACTAACTAATTCGTAACTGACAGGCCATTAAATAATTCATGGCTCAGCTGGCAAAAGCTACAATTTTTGCAAAAAAGCCCTTGCACCAAAGGGACTCAATGTTTGTTCCAAATTAAAACTCCCATTTCTCAGCATCAAAAATGGACAGGGAGCTGGCGCTTCAGCTCCACGGTAGAGCACTTGCCTCTCATGCCAGAGGCCTAAAGTTCGATCCTCAGGACTACCAAAAATAAAATACTGGGAAAATTTCATTTGGCACATGGTAACACAATAAAGCTGAATAGAGCTGGGTTCGAATCCCAGCACCCCACACGGCAGCTAACAACTTTAACTCCAGTACCAGGGGATCCGATGGCCTCCTCTGTCCTCTGTGGGCATGGGGGCACTTACCTACATGCAGACAATACACTCATACACATCAAATAAAAATAAATTAAAACTTAAAAAACACACTGACTATTGTGCTGTGTTCCGTGGCACTTAATATAGAGCCTAGGGCAGAAAGATTGCTAGTTTGAGGCAGACAACTTAGATCCTATCTCAAAATAGGGCCAAGTATAACTCACTGAGTGACTGCCTGTCACCCATGAGGCGGGGGATGAGAAGTTGGTTGCTAATGCAAACTCCTGTGTACCAAACTCTACACTTAATATTTATATAGCATAACTCAACTGGGTTCTCTACTCCCTAAAGCTTCAATCACTTAAAGAAATCAGTTCATTGCATTATACCAGGGGGACACTGCACTAAACGGCCCCCAAGCTTTGTTCATGGAGTTCCTCCCAATTATTCCAGTAGTTTCCTGTATTTAAAACATCTAACTATCTACCTTTACCATCCCTCTCTCCTAGGGAAACATATGTAAGACACTGTAGTTTTAATTATTCGCTTACCTGTACAAGGTAAAACACTTGAAATTTCAGACCCTTGTTTTTAAAAAAGCATAAAGAGCAGGGCGTCATGGTACACGCCTGTAATCCCAGCACTTAGGAGGCAGAGGCAGTTGGATCAAGACAGCCTGGTCTACAGCTGGGGCTATGGGGAGACCCTGTCTCAAAAAGTATAAAGCTTTATCCCAACCAGGCATGGTGGTACACACCTTTAATCCCAGTGCTTGGGAGGCAAAGGCAGGTGGATCTCTGTGAGTTTGAGGCCAGCTTGGTCTCTATCAGGAATCCAGGATAACCCTGGCTACAGGGAGACATCTCAAAAAAAAAAAAAAGATCTCAACTATACAAGCTGTTTTAAGCCAATATCACTGAAGTATCTATTCTCAAAGATAACACACATCAAGATCACTTCTTAGGCATAATGGTGAAAGTAAATGTGAGCAGTAAATAAATGATTCAAAAAGATGGCAAGGAAGCACACTGCTTGAGGCCTAACAACCCACTGAAAAATTTAACAAAAACAAGTTACCAGGGTCCATACCTACGGAATCGTGGTCTATAACCCCGATACATATTCTGTCTCACTGGTCTCCCTTGCTCTCCTGCACCCTGGTTGTCAGCACCCTGAAAAGACATTAGAAATTAAATCCAATGGGATCAATAACGAGAAGAAAATCCCAACCAGGCAAATCCAAATTCTTTAGTTCAAGACATCTAATAATTATCACCATGCTATATAAATTATTAACTCCATTGGTTCACAAAGAAAGCGTTCATTTTGTGGACGAAGGTTTAATGGAGGCCCTGGGTGTTAGTCCCAGGATGACAAGAATAAAAACACATGTGCAAAGGCTGTTACATACGTTCTGCTGATCCTTTATCTTGCGGCACTTACCTCCATCACTTCTCCCTGCACAGGAGGGTTGGAATACTGTGGTCGACGCCCATAGGGTCTCCGCATGTAGTAAGGTGGGAACCTCCGCCTGCGGTAGGGCCTTCGCTGTTGGGCTTGGCCTTCAGGAGCACTCTCCGATCCCTCATTCTTTTCCCCACTCTCACTGTTCTGGTAATTCTGCTGGTAATTGCGTGGAGGACCCCTACGACGTGGATAGCGTCTATAATGGTTACGGTCTGCTGCGTATTTACTGCCTTGAACTGGAACTCCACCAGGGCCTGTAACATTTGCTGCCTCCGCACCCTACGAAAGCCATTATTTATTGATAGTAACAAAAGAAATTCAAATACTCAACAAATTTCACAAAGCTAGGGAAGAAACAAAGCCCAAGAAAAAACAAAATGGGGAAGGAAGCTGTCTGTGTGGCAAGGGTGCATAGAAGTGGCTAAATTATCAATCAGCTCCGCACTATTCTGAAGACTGCAGCCAGCACATTAGGCTTGATGCACCTGTGTTCATGTGGTCACCTGAACACATCATCCATCCACATTAGAGCCACCATCCTACGGATGAAACCTCCAAATTATTTCCATACCGAGGTCAAACCTTTACACAAAAAGCATCCTCACCTTTTCTCCTTCAACAACATCAAACTCCACAGTCTCTCCATCTCCTACACTGCGAAGGTACTTCCTGGGGTTATTCTTCTTTATGGCAGTCTAGTAATATCACATTCCAAAAATAGATTAATGGGAGAATATCGTGCTTTTGCATTTAAAATGTACCAGAGTCAGTATTATTTTTAGCTTCGATATATAATATTTGCTTTACACAAGACCAAACTGTCAGTAAGTTTAGGAAAGCAGGGATCAATGTTACCCCCAACCTCAACCAAAAGACTCCAATCTTACAAGGCCCCAGCATTTTACCACTATTTACAAAACTAGAATAATTTAATACACAAGACAGACACAACAATAGTATATATATATTTTTAAGATGCTTTTTGAAAAAGCATTACTTAGAGCTTGGAACAAAATGAGGCCATCCATCTATCCTATCCCCCAGAGACTGCACTTAATAGTAGAAGCTAGCCCCAACACATGGCCAGTTTAGATGACAGGCGAGTTTAGTTTTATATACGTCAAAGTTGACCATACCAACTCATGTCCTTGTTACCATATCAGACTCAATTACAAATGTCAACCAAAATCCCTTCCAACCTGTCTGTGATTAATACTTCCATGGAAATGCATTTCACGTGTATTATCTATGCCACTATATTATCTGACTAGACGGGACCATTGGCTATTATCTCCCCAGAAAACAGTCTTACATTATTTAAGTTTTAAAAAGTTAGATGACATGCCCAAGGTCACACAGCTAGTAAGTGGCAGGAGAACTTTTCTAAATCCAGGTCTTGGGACTCCAAATCCCATGCTCATTCCACAGCACAGCAGTATCCGTTACAGGATCACTCATGCATTTCCATTCCAGAGGAGGCAGGACAGCTAACAAATGAGGCCAATTAAGCTCTGTTGCCCAGAACTGCAGTCTACTTGATACACCACTACAACCTGAGCAGCCAAAGTCCCAAGAAACAACTCCATGTTAAAACCACTTGCAAAATAAAGAGGAAAGCATGTTGGTGACACTTTGTGGGTAAGTATAACTAGGTGAGTTGTCAAATAATCGATCTCATCTGTCATCTAAAATGTCGTATAATACCTTTTATACACAGCCAACTCTGAATTACTTGCAGTCATAGGGGATAGCAGAAGCATGGGTAACTAACCCCCAACTCTTTACTAAACATCTTTAGGTCCTCCCAACCTTCATGGTTGTCAGTGGCTTGTTTAAGTCTGCATACTATTTTGAACATCAGAACAGGTAAGAGTCACCTTACCCAAACAAGGTGGAAAACACTGACTCTAAGGCAACACTTTGAAAAAGCTTTCAATTTACATTTAGAATCTGGATGTTTTCATACTTATATCTGACAGGGTTTTGGATATACTAGAAATGAGCTGGTTTTCTTTCACCCTGAGTGAATGTGGTGTTGGACACTTTAAGAGGCTACAAAATACTAACTAATGACAGCCCTTCCTAAGAAGGATCCAAGCTCTTAATTGTCTGAATACTGGTGCTGAGTATGGAAATTGACTTTGGGTCTTTGGATTTTTGAATCAAAATAAAAGTTGAAAATTCATAAAACAATTCAATACGTGCTGACCTTTCAACTGTGCTAGTGAAAGGTTGACAGCATGAAGTACACGTGTAGTATTGAGTTTTTCCTACTCATTTCAGACTGTGAGGATGAGTAAGTCCAATGGAGCCTTTAACACAATTTTAAGGTATAAGCATTCACTTGACAGCAGCTTACTTTATCAATAATCTTTAATTTCTCACTGATCATTTTCCAAAACATTTTCTTTAGATCATACTTGAGAAAATTAAATAAATATGTAATATTTATGGAAGTTTTCTCCAAAAATAACAGCAGGCAACCTCCAATTATTTACTGACCAATTAATTATAACTCTGCTGTGATGCCTTTCACTTAAACTACCTAATGAGGATTTAGGATTTAAGTTTCCAAAGCCAGCCATTTCTCCAAAGGTAAAAACAAAACACACCTCTCATTTTAAAAATGTATGAGACAAATAAAAGACTCTATCCTATACTCTGCAGGCTATGTCCCATTAAGATTTGTCCTTACCACAAAGGTGGACCTACCACCATCTAAAAACTTGCCAGTGTCTGTGTATTTATAGCAACACTATTCTGTATCTACATAGGCACTCACCTGGTGTACAAATACATCTTCCTTGGTGTCATTCCTGTAAGACAGAACCAAGACTAAGTGAGAAAAAAATTAAAAAACCAAATGCATTTCACACTACCAAAGACTGATTAAGAATAAACCTGGTCACTGGGCATTTCCCTTTTGCCCAGAGCCTTCCTGGCTGGAAACCATCAGATCAGGAAATTTGAACAAGCTACTATGAACAGCAGTAATCCATGAAGAAGATAAGCAAATCAAGCCTAAATCAAAGCATGACCAATGAGCCATAATTAAAAAGTGACAAGCAACATATACTAGACCATACCCTATTAAACATTAACAATGACCCAGCATACCTCCCTTACCCACCCACAGAACATGGGGACCAACAGAAGTAGGACTTCTCACTTCCCCCTCACCATTTCTAACTTTCACAATTCCTTGAGATAATAAAAATAACTATTAAAAAAGTATTCTAGGAGGCACAACAACATAGAAAATGAGCCTTAATGGTAATTATCTCAACACATCACTATGTGTCAAAAACTCTATACAAAGATGACTTCCCCTTTCACTTCCTACACCAAATCTAACTGCTGGCTTTAGGACTTTAATGACCCACGTAAAAACACCACCGCCTATGAGGAAACCCAGAAAATCCCATGATGAATGCTATTGGCTGTGTGAGAACAGGAGCCAAATCAAATCAACCTGTACACAAGAGTCAACAAAGCTTTTTAGTGTGTGTGTCTCAAGCCCAGGCTAACCTTGAATTTGTGATACTTCTGCCTCAGCTTCCAGACAGTGCTGGGATTACAGGCTGTCTACCAAACCAGACAAAGCCTTTTAATTACAAGAATGTGATGTGATAAAATTATTGTATAGAATCTAATGGTTGATATAGATACGAACTGATGAAGTCTTAGACTAAGGGAACACCCATGAGTAGGTATTTAGGATATCCTTCTTGGGGCAAAAATGGAGCCAACTGCAAGTAAAAGTGAGCTACAGGTCACAGAAATGGCTCAATATTATTTCTGGCATTTTAGCCTTCAATGATCAAAGTCATGACTGCCATACTGTTAAGAAGCAAAGCAGGTACCAAAGAATTCCTATCAATGACTTCAATTCTGACCCGAAAGGAATAGCTTCCATTATCACAGCATAACTGAGTTGCTGGAATAGAGTAATTTTAAATGTAAAGGCCAAAAAAGCAGATAAACTGATAGCTGGTCATAATGCCCACCTGTCCATAGTTCCACAAGGCAAAGGGACAGTGGAGAGCAGGTACTAATTACATCTCATCTCCAATGGTCATTTTAAGCTCCAGGTCTCTAAGGTACACTTACAAAATTGGTAAAAGTGAAAATGTGGACAAAGGATAAAGTAAACATTTTCATCTGGGGTAGTACTGCCTTATGGGATACTTACCGCTGTTGTAAAGGCAAGAAGCACTAGGAGCACTGATGGGGACGGAGGAGTGGTGTGGTACTGGCAGGTTTTCAAGATGACATTAAGATTCGGTATCATAATGGACTTTTTAAAGGGGCTCATGGCCAAGCTTGATGTGAATTTGATCCCCAGAATCCACATGGTTTAGAGAACCTCTAATATCTACATTTGTACATGCACCCCCCCCACACACACAATAAATGTAAGCTTCAGCTTAGATTAAACTACATTTAGGGAATTTTCAGTCATGATGAACATTTATGAACTCACTTTAGGGTTATAAAGCTACTTATCTAGTCAATGCAGCTCTAAAAATAGTGTAAGGTTAAAGCAAGCAAGCAAGTAATGTCCCCCGAAAAAAAACATAGTACCTACTATTTTGTGGCTCTACCCAGTCCACTGAGGAATACCATGAAGTGTATGTAGAGTTCAGAAACAAACTGACAGCTCCTAAAATGTAGTTTCAACTTATATAGCACAGTATTGAAGGTTTAAGTTCTGAATACTACACCTAAATGTTTCAAATCTATCATTTAATTCTCACAAGCTGAGGTAGGGAGATCACTACCCCCCCACATCTTTACAAAGCAGGGAACTAAAGTAAGTTAGTGGTCAACTTTGACTTCATGGAGCTCTACTGGTATTTCAAAAAGGACCAAATCCTAATAGGTTATAACAGGTTGTAACACGTGGTTACAGTTTTGTTAGTTCTAGTAACAAAGCCTTTTTTTAGCCCTGATGCAATGGGAAAGTGGGGGGGGGGGCAGTGGCAGGCATGTGGCTCTGTTCCTTACCTTCTATGTTACAATATGAGGAACAAGAAAGAGCACAATTCTACCTTACTATACTTACTCAACAGGTTGGTTATAGACAAGGAATTCTAGGGTCATAAATTCCAACTCCCCAGAACGCAAGTTGGTTTTATTCTTCTATCATCCATATACTGTAGGAACATGGTAAGCATGCCATAAAATTTTTTAAAAATTTATTGGATGCCTATTCAAATGCTAGCTGTCTAAAATACAATTATGAGCCAGTCACAGTAGCTCCAGGACCAATCCCAGAACTGGTGAAGAACCTGGCCTACACAGGGAATTCCAGGCCAGCTGGGGCTACAGGGAGACCCTGTCTCAAAAAAAAAAAAAAAAGATTTCTACACCACTGAATCTATCCAGATCAACAAGGTTATTAAGAGTCACAAATGCAATACAAACTGTAACAAAGTAACAAAAAAAAAAACTATCTTCTAGCTGGATATGCCTAATAAGCTCAAAATTTTATAAAGCACTTTTCTACTATATCACCACCTTAAATAAGACCTACCATGAGTTTACTCAGCGAAATGCTCCTATATGCTATTAGAATATTAATACTAATTTCTAAGCTTTGCAGTGGTTCTAAGATCACAAACTCAGCTCCTTGTTCCCTAGGCAGACACATGCTATTTCTCAGACATGAACACACATGCTTCCACCAGCTCAGCCAAGAGGGTACCAAACACCATTACCAGAGCCTCCATATAAGGAAAATAGAAGGCCTGTATACTCACACTGCTTATTCTAGGATTTAAAAAAGAAAAAAAAGGTGTACTTAGCCTACATGTTGAGTGCACCTGTGCACACAATGTCTGCAGAAACAGGAAAAGGGCAGCAGATCCCTTGGAACTGGGGTTAGCACCATTCTGAGGGTCCCAGCACTGAAGAAGTTAAACCCCCAACATGTTAGCTCCTTAGTAATATACTGCCAAGAAGTCTTTAAGCCTTCCTATGTATGACAAATTTGTCAAAGACTACTAAACAGATCTATAGGTTAAGATAGATTTACTGTGATAGAATTATGTTTTGTCTTTAAAAGCCTGAGGATTTTCGACCAAAATCTTCACACTGACCTACAAACTAAGACGACCCTATCAAATATTTCAGGACTTGTATGTCACATACAGACAGCTAAATTCTAAAATGCGTCCTTTACTTTAAAAAGGCGGTATCATCAGGTGTGATGTGCAATCTCAGCACTTGGGAGATGGAGAAAGGAGTTCAAACCAGCCTTGGCTACCCAAAACAAAGGGTACATTCTCCCCACAATACAAAACCTTTGCAAGGTCCACAGTATTAGTTTCAATATTCTCTCCTCTAATTCCTTAACTGCATCTCAATATAAAGTAGTAAGCTACTCCTTTGATTTGCATGCTGTATTAGAATTTTTGGCAAACCTAAACTTCATGGAATATAGTAAAATGTAGCTTGTCACACCTGGTCAAGCATACACAAGATCATTTTGATAGGAGGCTAAGAATAGTCAGCCATCCCAAGAAATTGTTAACTATGCGGACATCTTCCAACCACGATGACTAGCATCTTCTCTCAGAGCTGGTATCACCATAGTTGGCGAACAGGACTCCAAGAACAGAACTGAAGCTCAAACCCTGCTTCTACCACTTGTGTTTATGGGGCCAATTATTCAGTCTCTTTGTGCTTCAGAAGAGCAGGGCCTAGGCCTCAAAGGATTTTTTTTTATGATTAAATGAATCAGACCATTTAAAACTCTAACAGACCCTGGGTAAACTGTTCATATAATTGTGTAAAGGAAGTTATTTATTAGCTATACACATGGAAACTCAACAAGGAAAGAATCCCCAAAGAGGATTCTGACAGCATTTGACTAAGCCTTATTATAAGGACTATAAAAATTTAAGCTTTCTAGACCATGGATATCTTTTAAATGCCTAAGTATATAGGTCAGGTAGAAATGGCAGTTAACAATGTAAGACAATTACATGTAACAGGCCAGGGAGATGGCAAGCTGGGGAAAAGCACTCGGAGTAAAATCCTCATGCAGGTTTATCCTGACCTCTGCACATGTGCGGCGGCACAAGCACACTCTCACACACACACAAGATAAAGTGTTACAGACTGTGGGGAAGAAAAAAAGGAATTGTGCTACATGGATATCAAATCTGTATGGTTTTCATTATCCTCCTGATAATTTTAAGTGCTATGTACCTACAACTTCAGAAGGTTTTACATGCCCCAGAAAGGGAAAAATATTCCTAGTTTTCTTTTGTAGTGCTGGATTTGAGACCCATGTCCTTAGGAATACTAAGCACTCTACCACTGAGTAACATCTCCAGCCCCCAATTCTTGTCACCATATAGAAGTTCCACTGAAAATTACTTTCCTGATTCATGCTTATCTTTTCTAAGAGTTTCATGAGTACAAGTCAGTTTGACATCTAAGAAAAGTGAATTTTTTTAAAAAAAATATTTTTATTTTATGTGTATGGGTATATTGCCTGCATGTAGGTAAGTGCACCCATGTTGTACAGTGCTTGCGGAGGACAGAAGAGGCTGTCGGATCCCTTGGAACTGGAGTTATAGACAGTTGTTAGCTGCCACGTGGGTGCTGGGATTCAAACCTGGGTCTTCTGCAAGAACAGCCAGTGTTCTTTTTGGTATTTCAGAAGCTCTATGGAGTCAGGCATGGTGGTGCAGGCCTCTAATCCCAGCACTCAGAAGGCAGAGGCAGGTGAGTTCCAGGAAAGCCTGGTCTAGTTTCAGGCCAGCTGGGACTACAGGGAGACCCTGTCTGAAAAAGACCAAAAACAAAACCCAAACCTCTATGGTTACTAGCTGACTTTTTAGAGGGAGGGCAGAATCTTGACATAATAGTGCATGCTGGCATTGAACTCACTAGGTAGTGCAAGATGACCTTCGATTCCTGTTCCTCCTGCCTCCCCTCCAAGTGTTGAGATTACAGGCATGTACTACTTCCTATGCTGGGTTTATGCAGTGCTGGGGATTAAATCCAGGGGCTTCCTGTACTCTACCAACTGAGTTTCAACCAAGTTATAAGAATTTCAACCAAGATGTTACTTTAGGTTGTAATAAACATTTACAAAGAAAACCTATCTTTAAAGGCAGAAGATTTACATAAAAGTTTGCATTGGAATTGTAAAATAGCTAAAGAACCTAGAATGTACTCCAGAGCATCCACACTACAACCCAAATATTGTACCCTCCCCTCTTTTTTGGTATTGTTGAGACGGGGTCTCCCTGTAGTCCCAGCTGGCCTGAAATTCGCTATGTAGAGCAGGCTATCCTCGAATACAGAGACCCCCCCCCCACCTCTGCTTCCCAAGTGCTGGGATTAAAGGCATGCACCACCTTGCCTGGCCTATACCCTCCCATTTATACAGGGCCAGCAAGTGTGCCTGAATCTGTCCTGAAGAGTCAGCCCAGTCTGGTATTTGTTTTTACAACTGCTCCTCAGTCAGTGAGATAAACCTCTACAGTTAAGTGGACTTTACAGTATCATTTAAAAGTCACAGCATCATTGAAATGACTTGCTTAGACTCAAGGCACAGTCTTCACTAGTTGAAAGAATCAATAATTGAGGCTAGCCTAAGTTTAACAAAGCAGCATCCAAAAAAAAAAAGCCAATTACATTTAACTTGCCCTGAAGGGTGATCAACTGATTCTAAGGCAGAACATATTCAATGAATGCAATCTACATGATACTCAGAATGTTTAAAAAAAAAAAACCCACAGTATACTTATCTTCAATAAAAACTGTTTGCTTTTAAAATGATAGCCTACTTAAAATGCAGAAACCACTTGGGAGGCAGAGGCAGGTGGATCTTTTTGAGTTCAAGGCCAGCCTGGTCTACATAATGAGTTCCAGGACAGCTAGGGCTACAAGGAGACCCTGTCTCAAAAAGACAAAAAAAAAAAAAAAAAAAAAAAAAAAAAAAAAACCAAGGCAAATGTGAAAATTTCCTTAAATGCACAAAATGCTCAACCTATCCAGCTGAAAAGGCTGCCTAAGAGCGCTAGCTGCACTGTCAAGGGTTGAAAGCTGTCTTTAAGCAGGCAGAGAGCACAGCCTATACTATCACCTGGGGCTGCTTAAAAAAAAAAGCTGGGCATGGTGGCGCACTAGTCCCAGCACTTGGGAGGGAGGCAGAGGTAGGTGGATCTCTGTGAGTTCAAGGCCAGCCTGGTCTACATAGTGAGTTCCAGGACAGGTGGGGCTACAGGGAGACCCTGTCTCAAAAGACAAAGTACCCAGTCCCAAGGAATACAGAGGAGGGGAGGCAGTCTAGGAATTTGCATTTTCAGCATCCTTGTTTTTAAAAGGTTAGGCCAGTAATGAGAACCAGAGTAAGATGGAAATCCTAACTACAGCATGAATGAACTCAGAGCTGACAATCCGCCAGGAAGCCAATGCTGTCTAAGCACCCAAAACTGCATTCCCCTCTTTGCTCACTAGTAATCCAGTGGGGGGGGGACAGACCCCAGAGTTGGAAAGAAACGAAATGTTTCCCTATAATTCCAACTGTAGACAACAGACTCTTAAGGGCTTGTAATCCCTCTTGCTTGAGTGTTTCCACAACACTGTGTGGTTGGGTTGATCAATGAATGTTTTTTCATCACTCAGTTTATGTTTAAAAGCGAGCTGCCCATTTGGTAGTGTCCACTTCACAAGCATTCTGTGTTAGTCTTAAGCGTTCTTTTCAACATCTTATTTAATGCCTTCTAAAGCAAGCATGAAGAGAGAAAATGCTGAAATGGCGCCAAGTAGCACAGCTGTACGACCAGGATTGCTGCTGGCACTCGCCGTGCTTTACACCCATGCAACTGCACTAGCCTTGGCAGCCATCTTGAAAAAGATGCCGGGCTCACAAGGGAGCCCTCGGAGTGCAGCCGGAGTGCAGCCGCTGCCTGCATTTACCACCTTACCACCGCGGCTACACACCATTCTACGATCTAGGTGACGATGTAGTTGGTAGCGCTAAGCTAAATGCCAACAAGGTTAAGTTCCCAAGGACTTACAGCCACTGCTAATACGCTACAGCCAAGCTTTAATAAAACTGATTTGATCAGCATGACTGTCCGACAAGGAAGTAGGATATATAAAAATTGGGGATCATTTTCTTTACAGATCTATTATTACCTCAATAGACAAATCAAGACTCTGGTCAAAGTCAACTGTAGAAAATGCATTCGAGGCATTAAGAAGACAGTGTATTTGAGTTGTTTAAACAAAGGCAATACAACCTTACGGTACAGATGACAAAAACCTCAAGCACTAGAACACGTCAAATCAAGTTACCCAAAGGTCAATAAGGTGAACATCAACCGTATGCTAATCAGTGGGCCACAGTCTCCAATACCAATCTCAACCAAGTATACACGGATGGCAAGGATGAAAACGTGCTCAGCCCAGTTTCCTCAGTTTGATGTAGGGTCAACGTTAAAGTACGGCTCATTGGCTCCGTTTGCCTTGACCCGCTTTGTGTGCCATTTGCGCTTTGAGGCTAGCTTTAGGATGGTATTTAAATGCAAAACAAAGACAGTCTACGGAGCCACAAATCCCGTCACTCAAGGAAAAAAAACCAAACAATGGAGAAAACCCTCACGATCGCGCCTAGGTGGTCCCGGCGCGACAGCAGCCCCGGACCCGAGCGCGCCCCTGCAGGAGGCGGGACCCAGCTTCCCACACCGGCATCCAGCTCACCTGTTGATGAAACCATATCCGTTCCTTACATTGAACCATTTGACTGTTCCCAAAACCTTCGTTGCTGGAAAACAAAGGAGAACAACCGCCCATCACCAGCTACCCTGTACGGCGGGCCGGGCTCGGGCACCTGGCCCGGGGCAGCCACGCTGCAGGCCGAGCCGCCGCCCTCGCCGCACACGTGGGTGCGCGGGCCACCGCGGGGCCTCAGATGGGTGTGTGCTCCGCCGGCGAGCACGTGAGCGCGGGAAGGGGAAGCCGCTCAGCTGCTCCGGCTTGCGTGGGCGGCGCACCGCGCCCTCGGGCC